TTGTAGACGGATGATATGTAGCTAGAGACTGCTACCATCGTAGCCCTGAGAATTTAGGCTCTGGTCGAAAATAGATGAAACTCCAATCAAAGTCAAGTCGATCGGACGTAACTACATCTCGTACATCCGCGTACAATATTGGAAACAGTATAAAAGCGTTTGTAGCGCGTTGTGGAATCAAAAGATGCTGTACACCCTGCACCGCGTACATTTAATGCTTTTCTTTAAACAAACGTCAGAATTTGCTACAGTTTACCGTCGGTACGACTGTATAATTTTGCAACCAACTGTATCGTTTAGGAATAAATCTCTGTTCCCTTCTCGGAAATGGACAGTAATAGATCGATGGATCGACCGATCTTGTAACGTTTCGAAGATTCTAATTGGTCGCGTGAAGAAGAAGAAGAAGAAAGATTAGTAGTAGTAGTAGTAGTAGAAGAAGAAGAAGAAGAAGAAGAAGAAAAACGAGCAGGTTCGTTTTCCTAATTCGATCTTTCCATTGCCTGTTTCTCTATCGTTAGTTAAAATTCGCTTAGCTTAGCCTAACTACCTATTATAGTTTTTTTCACTAGCTACGGAAGAGCTCCCTCTCATGTGACCGTTCTTTTCTCGTTACGTGCCAGTTCCTCGTGTTCACGCTCACTCACGGCTCATAGATTTTCAACATAATAGGCACACGCATATAACGTACATACGTACAAACACGTGAGGCATGCATGAATGCATACGTGATATACGTATGGATAAATGCATATAGACACTATAGAATATATCACAACGATAAAACGCTAGTTTCTTTCCTTTCTCTCTCTCTCTCTCTCTCTCTCTCTCTCGCGTTCGTCTTTCTCCCATCACGCTATAATAGAGACTCCAAGTAGATAACGGATGTACAATTATATATAAATTGCATTAATAATGCTTCCGGTGGGGCGGACGTGGAAGTATCTCGATACTTACATTATATATATAATCGTAATACGTGCAGACAGAAGAGACGGACGAGAGCTAAGAATGTTAATGCGCGTTCCTGTTCGCCACCCCTCTGGACCGGGCCGAATCGATTTCCGTCCCTTCTTTCCCTTTCTCGTCCGCCATCTTCCGTTGTTCGCGCGCCGTACCGGGAACAGACGGGACAAGAGAGGAAACGTAGGAGACGGTTTTCTCCGCCGTACGTCCGAAAAATAATAAAGTGGGTGGCAAATCCGGGCCGAGCCAGCGCCGCTAATGGCCGTGTCGCTAATCGAGAAACGTATTCCTTAAAACCTGTGCACGAGGCGAGGCGAGGCGACGCGACGCGACGCGACGCGCGGCGCGGCCCTCGGGGTCGACAACGGGACGGCAAAAACACGAACTTCCCTCGGCCACTTCTTCCGTATACATTCGAGGGGGATGGCGACCAAGGAGATCCTCGAGCAAGATTACCTACTTTTATAAAGAATTCTCGCGGAGTACCAAGGCAAGAAGCTCCTTATTAAATGCACAATGAGCAAAGAGCGTCTGGCAAACGGACTGTTTGGCGATTGTAGAGAAGAGTGGGCGGCGGAGAGCGGTGCAAGAGAACGGGTAGCATACAGAGAAAGGGTAGGGTGGGAGAGAGAGAGAGAGAGAGAGAGAGAGAGAGCGAGAGAGTTAGAGAAAGAGAGAGAGAGAGAGAGAGGGAGAGAGAGAGTCGGAGAAAAGAGGAGAGGGAGAGCATGACCGGGATACCGAGCGAGAGGGAGAGAGAAACAGACATGTTCTCGGAGACAGAGGGGAAAAAGAGAGGGTGGGTTGGGCGTGTCAGCTGGTCGATATCCTGAATGGCAAGCTTCCACGACCCAGTCTGCAGCTAGCAACCACGCTGGAAGAGACAGAAGAGGGAAAAAGGGGATGAGATGAGGCACGAGAACGATAGAGATAGGGGATAGAGAGCAGCCGGGCCGAAGAATGAGAGGGCCAGAGACGCGTGCAAGGGTGTATGCGACGCGAGAATCTGGCGGATCCGCGTCGGTACGCGTACTCCGTGTGTGCGCGCGGGAGGGAAGCCCGTCCACGAACGCGCGCGAGGGTGCACACAGAGCGGCAAGGATGGAAAAACGCGAGCAGCCAGCATGGAGTATCCAAAAGACGGAAGTAGAACGGCATACAATTGGCGTTAATTAACTCAGCAAAAACGTACCGACGGAACAGCTACCGGGGAAGACGAAGAGTCTCTCCACGGAAGCACCGCGCCACCGCGGTGTACGTGTGTTCGAGGCTGAAGCTAAACCACGCGCGAGGATAAACGCGATCGCGATGCATTCTCCGCGTCGTTCCATCATCTGGCTCCGCTGGAATCATTGGGGCCCCCTCGTGCCGCGCTGCTCGGATAGGACTTTCCTTCGAATTATTCAACTGGATTCGGCGTACAAATCTTTTAGTCGAAAGGGGAAAAATGACTCCGAGGGTGGTTCTTTTTTTAAACTCTCTGCTCTGTCGCTAACCTCTTTCTTGCTCTCTCTCTCTCTCTCTCTCTTCTCTTCTGTTCTCTTCTGTTCTCTTTTCTTCTCTTCTCTTCCGCACCCCTTCCGGCCTCTTCGCGGCGAGGGCGGACCGCGATCTTTCGCACTCCGTGTAAACAGAAGAGAGCTGGTTGTTCGTTTTGTTCTATTCGACCGAGAAACCTGTGGAGACTCGTCCTTCGCCGAACGATTAGCCGCGCGGGCCGAGGACGAGGCTCTCGCGCGCGCGGAAACGGAAACATCCTCGAGCGTTCGCTTTGGCTCGCCATCCGGCTCGAGATGCCACTCGATTTCGAATAACTTACATCCGATCGAATCGTACGTCCCGGGGAGTGTGTATATCTTCTACGTAAACATTATCATCGCGACTACGTAGTTACAAGAACTAAGGTAACTCCCCATTTTGTTGAGCCACGTACACGAACACGTACAGGGTGGTCGCGCGTCGCGACGATTCCACGGAAGTTACACGATTCCGAGGTTGGATCGCGGTTGTGTGACAGAGAAGTGACGGAAATTACAAAAGTCTTCGCGCTTCGTCCGACGAGATTCTCCTATAAATGGTAAAAAACTGGTATAAAATGAAACGGACACATAACGTTCGTGGCAATAAAAAAGATGTTCGTGAATATCGGCTCCGCCTCGAAATGATGCGACTCGCGTCGAAGGCTGTTTTTTGTATTCTTTGCTTTGCTTTGCATTGCATTGCTTTGCTTGCTTGCCTGCCTGCCTGCCTGCCTGCCTGCTTTTTTAACTCGTTTACTTGTTTTGCTTTGCTTTGTTTTGTTCGTCGGTTTATTCCGTTTGTCCGTGCTTAGGTATTGGTTTCCCTTCGTTCTCCATTCCGTTGAACGTTCGCTCGCGAAAAAATCTCGATCGTGCTCACGGCGCGTCAAGGATCATCAGGCCATCGTCGTCGCGGCCGACGCGCGGATAATCATGTACGTGTGTCTCTGCACGTAATCGCGTGCCTAATACGGATGCGCGTGTATGCGAATCCCGTGCATACATACGTATCGCCCGCCTTACATACATTGATACTTAAAATGTACTTAACGTATTAAGTCGCGCCAGTCTCCGGTAATGAATCGTATTACGTGCTTCTTTTTTTGTTTTGTTCTTCGTCTTCGGTCGAAATAAAAACCATCCTCGGCTCGCTTGTACAACCTTTTTTTTTTCTCTCTATCTCTCTCTCTCTCTCTCCTTCTCTCCTCTCCCCCGCCTCTGTTTCGCTCACGCACACCACACACGGGCACACCGCGGAACACGCATTCGTACACGTAGGACAGTAATCGCGCGCGCGTATTATACGCATGCACGCACGCATACACACACGCACGCACTCGCACATGCGTACAGTCCAAACTCACGCGACTCTTCTACGATCTCTCTCTTCCTTGATCTTTATACGCGCGAGCGCCATTCGAGCGACGACCGTCGATTCCTGATCGTTTTCTCGTAAGAGTTTTCTCTCTCGTCATCGTCGTCATGCTTTCCTCTCTGCGTTCCCCGCTTTCTCTACACCCCTTTCCGGTCGAATTTTCCACCTCCGTCGGTCGTGTCCCAATTCGAGCATTGCAATTTCTCTTACGTTTAGTTAACTTTACTATATTTATAATATGTATGTATATAATGGTAGCTAAATTGACAAGTGTTTATATCGAAGGTATTTCTCTCTTTCTTCCCTCGTTTGTTTAAGAGCTACGTACCTAGACTGGCAATGTTTTAAAGGTATGCACGCTCGTGGAGTTTTGCCGTTCAGTGAATTTCGTTTCTCGCCGATCTCTCCTCTAGGATCTCTCTTCCTCTCCCTTTCTGTCTCTCTCGGTTCTCCGGACGCGTGGAGCCTGTTCTCCACGCGACGCTGCGCTGCGCTGCTCTGCTCTGCTCTGCTCTGCGATGCATCGCACTGCGCTGCGCGATCGAAGTTTCCGCGGGCGACAGTCAGCGAGCAGGGAAATCGCGGGAAATCGAAGATCACTTCGCAGGGGAATCTTACAGTTGGAATGTTCACGAAGTAGTCACAGCGCGCGGTTTTTAGTTGTCCGGCGTCGGTCTGACCGACGACTGTCTCTCTATCGGCTAATCGAAGCACCGCTCGTATCCGAGTCTCCAGCGACGTTTCTTTGTTTGCCCGACACTTTCCGACTTTGCGAATCGAGTCGACTTCGTCTCTGCCTCCCACTACGATCTTTCTCTCTCTACGCTCCTCTTCTTGTCCGACTCCTCACCAGTTTCTATTTATTTAATCGTCGATCCTCCGAGTTTAATTTATACAATTCTTCTACCTGCTTTCGTCTCGTAATAATCACAGCGTTATTTTTTAGTCCGTTCCTCCCGCGGAACATTTAATTTCAGATTCTCGTTTTCTCGTAGTTCCTCTCGCGAACTGATCTCACCGTCTGCCCCACCCTTTTGTTTCTTTTCGGTTTCATTCGTTTTTTTTTCGTGTTTTCGGTGTGTGTCTGTCTCTCTCTCTCTCTCTATCCCTCTCCATCTCTCTCTCCTCTCTCTCTCTCTCGCTTTCTCTCTGTGTGTGTATGTGTATGTGTTTGTGTGTGTGTATATATATATGTGTATATATATGGCGTGTATATTTTTGCGCGCGTGTGTACGCGTGTCGGGTACGTGTGTCGTGTTTGTTCTTTTCGTTTGTTTATTATTATTATTTTTTTTAAATACTTTCGTCTCTGTCTTTGATCGCACGTTCCTTATAATGGTACGCGCGCACCGATCGTCCCGTTTCTCCGTTTACTTCGCCTCCTCCAGTAGCACCAGATCGTCCGCCACGACATCGCTGATGTGCAGATATATGATCCAATACATTAGGTTGAAACAGACGAAGCATACTGGGAACACGATGCGGGAATACTTGTCGATATCCGACGGCGTAATACCTGGCAACAGAGGAGAATCAATGTATTATCCTGCTCCTTTTAACGCTGAAATCGGATACCAGCATTCCCCTCCCTATTGGTACACCGAGCGGGATCGGTAACGCGATTATACGCAGATCTGTATACGATTTTACGATGGGTTTGATCGATTCGTCATTTGTTTCTTCTTCTCGCTTAACTCGTCTCTATCCCCCATTTATTACTATCGACGAATGTTAAGCAGAACTAGTCGTTTTAACCCTTTGCACTCGAAGCTATTTTAATCGTAAAGCTAAAATAATTTTTCTGACTTATAGTATTTCTATTTTATATGACAAAGTGCATTTTATGCATACGAAATTGAGTCTTGCGGTGACTTGTACAACAGTTACACTGTTAACAGTTTCTTAAATGTAAACTTTGTTGATGTAAAAATTATCTTGGAATATGCTGTGACAATGTTAATGGTGCCTCAGAGTCACCACTCGAGTGCAAAGGGTTAAGTTTACATTTTCCACTTGGAAAAATTGTTCTATCACATTTATGTCATCAAATCGGTCATATAAAATGTATGGTTTTTCTGTGAATTTCATTTCAAGTATACAGCAAAATCCCACTAGAAAAGAAACTTCGAAAGCGGCAATGAAACCGAGACTCTGTTTACATTTTTACTAATTTAGCAGGTTGTATTAACGCGTGACTCGAGTTCCGTCTGCTTTCAGCAGTAACGAGTTTGATACTTGTTGAGCAGTTTTTTGAAAACAGGTATCCGATATCCTCTCGTCGTTGGGAAATTCTAGTACTGTAACTTTTCTAAGTGCTTCGAATGATTTAATTAAAATTTTCTGGCCGAAGTTCCCGGTGTTCTCCGTATATAATACGGGGAAAGCTTGAACGCAGGTTCCGGTGGTTAAAAAGGTTTACGTAATGCAGAAATAAAAGATAAAACATTCAGAGCAAGAAACGATTTTCTGCTTCAGCGACGAGAGCGATTTACTTCGTTCTTTTTCTTTTCTGTTTAATGTGAAAACAAAAGGATCACGCGCGTTCGCGAGACGTTGCATCCATTAAGAAAGATTGCTTCAATTTATAGCATTTTTATTTTTATTGCAACGAGTTATACCGCGTTTAGTGAAATGAAAAGCTGTTGTTCCCTTCGGTAGAGACGGTATCTGTTTCTTTGCTTTCATAATCGATGGCATAGTTTGTCGTTATTGTTCGTCGTGTAAAATGAAAATAAAATACTCTTTCGACTTTATCTGGTACTTTTTTCTTATCGAAACTGTACTAAGTATATATATTAATAAGATTTATTCGAAATTCTAATTACATGTTTTTAAAGAAATATTATCTGCAACAATCTTCAGTGCGAACCTGAACGTGATTTATTAATTCTGCAGGGAAATGGAAGTTTTAATCAAATTGTCACAGCAATCTGATTAATCATAACTTTACCTCTTATACGAGGAACGAGTGCAACTTAATTAAACCTACACCAAACACATACTTTAATCTCTTCTAAATCGATTTAAGCGAGTTTTTAGTTTAAGTAGTTTGCGAATGTGAAATGGTTTTAGCGTTCTTATCAAAGTTGACAGATCGAATATTACAACGAAACAATTATTTTGAAATTCGAACATACGATTCTATCTCCCATTTCTGGGACAGCTGGCGTCGACAGTGTCAAGGAAGGGTTAAACTGTATTCGTACCGTAAAGTTTGCTGATGTCCTTGCCAGGATGAATAAGATGTTGCGGCGCGGGCGCTGCTTCCTCGTCGGCTCGTCCGTTTATGGTGTTCTCGAGTGTCCCACCTTTGCTGTGTGCCTTTGGGTCGTGTACCTTGAACCGCACCTCCTGGACAACACGGGACCACTTACAAGAGACACGGCAGTTCGGCGTGGGGTGTCCTTCTCCGAGGAGAACCCCTTACTTTGGTAGATTGGCATGCGACATCGAGGATAGGCTAACGTGTCTTTCACTATTCCTGTAGTCTGTTTTTCTTTTTCTCTTGTTCTCAATGCAACTAAGCTACTTAACCCTCGAACGGTGAATCGTGCGTGGTCAAGACCGGGTATAGATCGTCAACGTTAATGGAGACGAGCAGTAGAAGTGCCTGCGAAACTTGGGCATTCTGGATGGAAAGGAAATCGTGTTGCTATAAATCTATTCCAGTGATCTTTGAACGAATCTATCAATGTCATTTTTGCCACTGAGGAATACAGTTTCGCGACGACCGCCGCTGTGTCAGTCAAATATTTTGAAATGGCCTTTTCGTATCGTTATCTAAGAGGACGAAAAACGAGTAGACGCGTGTATTAAATTAAGTAGCTTTAAAAGCAGGTCGCTGGAAAAATGAAAGATAAAGTAATCTTGCGACCTTTTCGAAACGATCTCTTCTTGCATGAAGCGCAAGTTTTTCCGGCAAATATATTGGCATTCTGTCATTGGAACGCCGCTTGGAAGGAGATAATGTTGTATGTCATAGCGCAACATCGAAACCGTTGTTTTTCAAGAAAACACATTGAAGATCGACTGGCATAACCGTACGAAAATGTTGATGTCCATTGGACTGGCGTTGCACGATGCGATCGAAAATGTCACGAATTATAAACTTTGACAGAAAACGATATATTTATAACATTCGGACTCTGTTTCGTCGTCTATTTGCCAATAGTTGACACTAACAATGAACACGACTGTACGCTGAAATACGTGTCTCGAATACATCAATGATTTTGATACTGAAGGCACGATCGTATCGGAACAAATTGGAAGCTCGCAAGGTAGCGGAACTGATTACTGTGAGGCGACTAATAAGTGCCTTTCGTTTGTTTTCAGGCCTTTATTTATCTAATAAGATATATTAAACTGTTTCATTTGAAAGACAAACAGAATAAAATAATAAAGAAATGTAATACGCGTTGTTCGATAAATATAAAATTGATTATCTCCGAAGACGAACCAAAGGAGCAGCAATTGGTCATCGCGCAGTAACCGACTCCGCTACCCTAATAGAATTGCGAGATAAAATGAAAATCTAAGAAATAGGCCGACGTATTATTAGAAAATAGACACGTCGAAAGTTTTCACGAGCACTCGAGGACGCCGTGCCTATGGATCGCGAGAAACCTCGGGCGTAACCACGCGATTCACAAACTGAAGCATCAGAAAAACTCACCTGACTGTGAACAGAGATCGATTTTTACTATTTCCCCTCTTGATTCAGTGTATTCATTCTCCCTCGAACCCGTGTTTAGAAGGGTAATTGGATTTAGTTGCGGTGCGCCGGGTGCTTGCCGCATTAATGCTCGTTCCGTGCTCGCGTTTAATCACGTTTGAAAGTAGGAAATAGAGGAGGATACTAACGACGTCGCTTTTGTCCACACGTCATTTTCATTAACGTCGGGGCCGTTGCTACTTTTCCGAAGCCGTAAAAACGCCGGCCGAAACGAGCAGGCGACGACGCCGCGCTAAACCGTGTTCGCGTCTGCGCGATTTCAAAGAACAAGTAATTAATTCCGTAGGAATTAATTAAAACGTCTTATCCGAGCGACATTCAACGCGATACATCGGCCGGCCCGCGTCCGGCCTGTCCGCCTCCTTTTCCAACCTTCTTCTCTCGTCCTTGCCGTATTCTCGCCCCCTTTTCATATTTTCCGTTCCCGCTTCACAATCCCCGAGATTAAAAGAAAATTTATAGTGCTTCGCTTCGTTCCCGTAGCACGGAACCCGTCTCCGAATGGAAATTCATTTCACCGAACCTTTTAGCTTTTGACCTCTTGCGATTCGTTCGTTTTATTTTTTTGTTCTTTTTTCTTTTTTCGAGCGAGAGGAAAAGACAATATTTTCGGCCGGAAGGTTTGAACCGGGGATCTCTAACGCGAGATCGCGGCCAACTTCGCGGTGAATTGGCGGTGAATGGCCATTGAACGATGGTAGCGGGAGGGGTCACAGGGATGGGGACGGGGCGAAGGAGAGGTCTAAAAAATAGCAGAAACGAGGAGATACCATAAAACACGAAACGCGATCGGTTTTTGTCGGAATCGGGGATTTTTTTTCGTTACGGGTTCTTTCACTGGAAATCGATAAAAGAAAAATGTAATCGAGAGTTCAAGATTTCGTTAATTGATCTGCTCTTTCCTACGAAAATCTCGTTACCCGAGACGGATGGTAAAAATGTTTTTTCAGTGTTTACGATTTTTCGTTAGCTAAGCTGTTCTTTCTTGCGAGAAGCTAATTCTGCAAGAAAGCTTTTCGTGACAGGGTACTGGGTCCGACTAATGGCGGGCTCGTGAAGGATGGGAATCGTGAAATGTGGCAAGAAACGGTCGGAGCGAACGAGGACTTTTTCCTCGTGTTCCGAAAATTTGCATTTAACAGGCACGTTCTCGTGTTCGGCCGATACCTCCTCCCAGATGGCAAACATGAGTCAAAAGAATCGATCGGCGAAGGAACTAAAGTAACAGCATCGATTCGCCTGCTGAACGGCGAGCTTCTACTGCTCCGTGGAAAAAAACCGTCTAAATCTCATCGGCCTACATAGCGAAAGGCGCAAACGTGTGATCATGTCGACGGCAACAGAAAGGTTCTAATTGGAAAGAAAGACAAAAGGGGATGTGACAGGTTGGCCGATGTTACTCACAGTTTGCTTAGGCGCGTGGTCTCCGTGATCACCGGGCACTCCGGGCGGTCCTGGATTCTCTCTCGCCGCCTTCATACTTTCTGCTATTTTTTGGAAGCGATTCTTCCTCATTTGAATCCTCTTTGCCATGTAGCCCACCGTGGCGTATTCTGCGAAGTCAGAGAACCCACGCAAATAATGAGATATGACAGGCCGGAACAATGACGATAGCGAGGAGGCAGTGTCGCCGTTTCTGTGCCACTGAATGAATTCATCCTTTTTTTGAAGAAGGAGGGATCAGACTCTGATCCTTTTGCCAAAGAATAAACGTCGGTCACGAATAAGAGTCGGTCACGAGAGTCTACGTATTCCTATGAAATTTCAAAATGAAAGAACCAAAGATTTTGCATGTTTCGTGGACGGTGCGAAAACAGGCGTATTATTCTGAAAAGACAATTTTTCAAGGTAAATAAGACGAAAGTGAAGAGAGAGCATATATTATACGATTCGTACAGTTTCTTCGTGTTTTCGACTTACGTTTCCTCGGCAGTGCGTACAGAGAGAAAGAAGCAGAACGATTCTTTCGAAATTGTTTCTAATGTTATATTTAAGCAATAATGAACAAAACCTTCGTTTCTTCGTGTATAACGTATGAAATTTGACAGGCGTATGCAGACTTTTGCGACTGATTGTATGCATGTACGTTTACCAACTGTATATTTTGAGTGAGGTGTGTGTTCTTCGCTTAGTCAGGATTACAGTGTTAACATTGTACCTGTGCTAAAAACAGATTTTGTCAATGAAACCTGAATATAACACTTATACAGGATGGGAAGGTAGTCATTCCTTATTTTTAAATTCTTATATGCGATACATTGTTTGATTGTCTCGTGTATGTTGCTGTTCATGCTGCTTTTAGTATTCCGCGTCGCTAGGGAAGCCCATGAAAGCAGGATCAACAAGAAGTTCGCCAAAGTGGGACGAGAATTTAAACAAATGATATTTTCTATCTCTATCTACAAAATATACGAACGTTTCGGAACGAAAGTAGTGGAGGAGTTGAATGTAATAGCAGTTAGGGTATACGAGAACTTTAACGCACCCTTATTGACCGATGAGAAAAGAATAGGAATTACTGTCGTGAATGGCGAGAGGTGGTCCAGCACGTCTTATTATGCCGTTTTCAGGAATGAAAAGTAATTGGGGGAACTCTGACGAAGAGGCGATAACAACAACCTTGAAGTATATATATCGGTCGTTTCTACGGAATTTCATAGGGGTCTGAAATACTGAGAGCAATACGAATAATAGCATACGCGACACAATGAGACAATATACATCTCATTCGAATACCTACGTTGTACATTATCGAATAAAAGGTAAATCACCAGGGTTAGATTTAACAACAACGCCCGTTAAAGCGCGCCGAATCACGTCCATTCACACCATCATTACCCTCATTACCATACACAATGGATCCATGGAATAGGCAATTACGTACAATAGTTTATAAGCATCAATGTTATCCCTATTACTTGCCCAACAATCGGCGATTGTTTGCACCATGAAGGCGAATGACTGTTCATATCATTACTATAAAAATTTCGAAATACGGAGTGACGCCTCATCCATTTTGTAGTCCCTAGACGAACCAAGTCTTCGCGTGCGACCAAACATCGGCTTTAGTCGTGAATTAAGCTTTTCCCACGCGAAAGAGAACGAAACATATCCATGAGTCGATGTTATGTCACTGACTGGACAAGCTACAGCGAGATCGTCAAATTTCATTGGAAGAAACGTTTCGTAACACACGTTTTCGTTGATGGAATTCAAGTAATATTTTCGCGAGGAAAACTCGAGCCACGTCACAGCGGCCTATAGGAAGCATGTATGTACAAGAAGGTTATTTCGGTTGGTCTCGTTGCGTGTTCTGTTAATTGCACTGAATCCTAATATAGGATGACATATACACGCTTAAGCCCTTTGGAGTCCAGCGTAAGGCCTGGCTAGATCTCGCTTCATCAATGATGCCGCACTGCAGGCTGGTAATTTCACGAGTTCGCTATACCTTGCACAACATCTAACCAAGAACACATACAAGGGTGAGTCAGCCGGCTCTACCAACTCGAATTACTTGCAAAACCATTTGGTATACGGACAAATGTTTCAAACGCGATAGTCGCGTGACATTAAGGAGGGCTTGCCTTCTAATTAGATTTTTCTTATTTTATTCTTGTACAAACGTATAACGGGCATCGTACATTTTTTTTTAAGTGTACACGTGTAATTTTAACGTTCGATTTATAGAATTATCGTACGCATAATATACGTCCATAAACTTGTTAATCTGTACGAGTTAAGAAATCAAAAATTACCTGTTTCAATTTTTCTTTCTTTTATTTTAGTTTTAACTTAATTTTATTAGTTGGTAACTATTTCACATTAGTAACTGTCTTATTAGTTTAGTAATTATTAGTTTTTCTATCGAGACGTTGTATATTCACACTTGGAAAACTCAAGAGGATCTTCGCATCTCGACGAAAGTGCAAAATGATAAAAAAAAGAAACTATTGCGATGGAAGCAATTTTTGCTATCGTGGTCTTTCGTCTAAACAGTTTACTTGTATGACAAAGAGAATGCAAGTTATTCAAAGTGGTGGAGTTCCATGACTTTCCCAGTACATTTCGTTCGTTTTCATGCGAGAAAGAATTAGTTCCCAATTAAAGCCAACGTTTGGTCGCGCGTGAAGACTTGGCTGGACTATCCCTGGCAAAAAGTGTTGGATCAAAATCGTCAGCTGCTGAATAAATTATTTTCACACATATTAAACATGGAAAATAATATTATATGTTTGTTTATTAAAGAAACCGAATACATTAGCTAGTCGTATGTCAAGGAAAGAGTAGGTGTTCTAATATTCACATCAAGAGTAAGAGTTCCTCATCGGTACGGTGGAAGTTATAAAAGAATATTAATCCTCCGTCTGCAATCATTTTTTTCAATTTAATCAGCTTCACTTAATTTTTTAATACCGTTCTATGTTTTCGGAATAACACCCAATTATTTTTATAGCTACGTGTATTAAGCAAAGTCAAATCGAAAGAAACATAAGAAGTAAATGACAAAAAATCACTAGATCATATATAGTTAACTAATTAGTAAATTCGGAAATGATAATAGACATTTAGATCTGCAACTTTACGAAAGCGTGTATTACTAGGCATAATAAGCTTTAAAGAAGAAAATTACATGTCAGTCTCTCGGATTAAGAAAGTATATTAGAAAGTATATTATTATAGAAATTTTTATATATTATTAATATAATATTATATAATACTTGTAAAAAGAAATATGATTTTTCATCCAGAACAAAATACTACATTCCATTCAAACAAGGACATATGTAACACTTTGTAAGTATTTCAACATTATTCGTTACAATGAACGACTACTGGACTGTGCACAATGTTCATCTCAGCGATTAGAACAACGGTAAATTCTTTTCTTTTTGGTTATATTTATGAGAACCTTTACCTTCCTGCAATCCGAGTCGTTTACGACCCAGCCTTAAAACGATCATGTTGCAATCAGGTCGAACACGAACTGGCAGATACTGGCGTTCTGCGCATGCCGTAGCGTTACTAGCAAAAACTTGTTTCACGAGTGAAATTACATCGAACAACTGCGAAGAACAAGAACAGTCTGGTTCGAAAGCGACCCAGTATGCAGATGGAGGATTAATAAACGCGATGAAAATTGTCCAAAGATCGGCCGAACGTATCGCAGATCGGTGTTCACGGAATTTCGTTGCCGCGTTTCTTAATCTAAACAAACATATTCGAATTCACATATACGAGTTACAATGATTTGACGATCGTCGCCATCGCATTTGGCTCCACCGTTAATGAAAGTATTTCCATGTCTAACATGGGAATAATCATTATGACGCTCGGTTTCTTCGATCGAACACTCTTTGCCGGGGATAGCGGTCGACGATGCCCAGCGAAGAAGTTTTTTTAGTCGAACACGGGGTGTGCGGGTGTTACGCGTGGAGGAGTACACAGCGGTACTCACCGAGCAACGAGGCGAACACCATGACGAAACAGGTTCCCAAATAGACGTCGATGGACTTCACGTAGGAGATTTTCGGTAACGCCGCGTTCGTCGAGGACATTAGAGTGGTCATGGTGAGCACAGTGGTTACTCCGAGGGCCACCCGAGCGGGGGTCGCGTTTCGGTTCAGCCAAAAGCTCACCCATGAGATTATGACGATCAAGCCCGAGGGAATGTAGATTTGAATCAGGTAGTAGCCCATCGACCGTACGAACTGGATCTCGCAGGCCAGCCGCGAATAATTTCCTACGATTAAAAGATCGACAGTTAGGACAGGGGGACGGAGAGGCGCCATGAAATGTCTCTTTAAATGTGTCTCTCTCTCTCTCTCTCTTTCTCTCTGCCCTTATCTTTATATACATACATGTATTTGTATATATATATATTTTTTCTCTTTTTTTTCCTGCTCTTTTACTTCCCACCTACATATCTCTCTCTTTCTCCGATGATATTATTTTTGTTCAACATTCCCTTTTTTTGCAGGCTCTGCCGCTCTCACCGGCCTTGTCTAGGCCAGGAAAAGCGGACTTGTAGGCTCGCAAGCGACTCTCCCTCTACCTTCCTGTCTCTCTCTTTCCCTCTCACCGTTTTTCTTTTTTAGCTTTTTTCCGCGAGACGAAACACACGGCGCACGAGAGCTGGCGAGATGTTGTGTAAAGTTCGTGCTGTCGATGAAACCTTCGCGCGGGTTCCCGCGTACGCGACACGCGGCTGTGTAAACGCCTGGGATCCGACGTGTCCGCGCGGGTATGTGTGAACGAGAATCGCGACCGGGCGGGCTGACAAACGCGGGGGCTCGAGAACGGGGTAGGAATCGACGGGGGTGGAGAGAATCCGGTTGCTCGTGTCGCTACCACTGGCTTCGTGGAGCGAGGATCGGGCCAATTTACAGTTCGCCTTGATCGCTCGAAGAACCGTCGCTGTCGGAAAATGGGATTTATTTGTAGCTCTGATTACTCTCGTCGCTCGGCGGCGAGAGCATCGTCGGCGGCGAGCTCGTCGAGGAATCGCGATCGCGCGCGTACCACCAGGGAAAATGACTCGCGGAGACCTTTTGGAAACGATGTTTACCCTCGAAATATAACTCGCGCGTCGATCATGGAAACGTATGGAAACGTGTGGAGTGGCGCATCAAAGTGTTCGCATACAGACTGCTTTCATTGGAATAGTACAGTAATTCTGTTATCGCTCATAACGATATCGCGAAGACATATCCCTAAACCGTTCTTAAAGTGGGAGATCCATTTTTTCAAGTACACACTTGGGTTTGGGGACAATCGAGTATCTCCGGTGAATTCTCTCTGAAACAATCCTACATCGATTAGACCACCGACGCATCCAGTGGGGCACTCGTTTCAAATTCGTTGCAAACATATATGTATGTCTTCCATTCTCCTCGACTGTAATTCCTCATTAACGATCATACAGAGTTTGAATTCTCGGACGATGCACCCCGCGAGTTGCACGTGCACTATTCACCGGTGATTCCTGTTGGTGGAGCAATTACGGCTTCTGCCATTCAGAGTGCAAACACACGGTCAGCAGCTCCGCGTCTACATTCCGAGTAGGGCAGGCCTAAACAGGCCTCGCATCCTCCTGTCGTGAATTATTGGCGGCTATTGTGGGCACGGTGAAAATATTTAGTTTCGTTCGTTACAAGGCAAAAACGTAGAATTTTATGCGTTTCAGCCGCAGCGTACAGGTTCAACTGAAAAGCATCTAACTACTAGCCGTAGACGCTGGAAGCCTGATACCGTTTAAGACGAAGATGCTGTGGTAGCCTGAAATTTTCAAGTGTTCCAAAGGGCGTCGAGGCGATAATGACTTACGTGTCGAGAGGGGGGGGGCGGGGGCGGGGGTTGGTTCACACAGAGACCTAATTTCTACACACTTCTATGTTTACTTAAGGGTTATATAGCATTCTTGGACAACATAGTAATACTGTTACCTGAACTGTTCGCCACAGGACGTATCCGTACATACATCTTGTTTTTTTATCTTGCGAAAGCAATGGATTCAGCCTCTTGCGCGAGCAGACGAACGAGTACACAACAGACAAACGGCGATGATTCATGTAACACGGATTCAATGGTACAATCGAAGACAATGGAGCCGCGCGATACGTTCGCCGCGTTCCAACAAGGACCAACGTATTGTGGAATCGAGCGACATCGTGCCTAATCGCTCGGTAACATCCACCAGCCTCGTATGTCCGCGCGGACGACGAGATCGCGAGAAAGAGAGAGATACTGATCGATCGATCGACGATTACTGGACGTGGTTAACGTCCTTACGAGGCGACATCGCGGCTGCGGACATCGGATAGCGCTCACGTGTCTCTCCACCTTACCCATACCGTTAAAAGCGAGGGTTGAGTTATTATTTTTTTTTTTTTTTTTTTTGGTTTGTTGGTTGGGGGTGGGGTTCTATTCATACGTTACCGGTAGTTAGACTAATCTCCATGGCTCGTTGACGGTGACCAAGGACCTTGAACTGAGGGAGGGAGACCTCGTTGCTGACACCGACGCTGTTCGGGCCCTCGTTCCACTTGTACCGGATGTCCCTCATGGTGTATCCGACTGAAAAAATAGAGAGACCCCCCGCGGTTGGTACGTACCTTCGCGGAAGCCCTCAAACGCGTTTCAGCTCCGAGGGGGCCTCCACTTACCTCGCACCCCCGTTCAAACACCCCAAACATATAGTCCGCTCTCTTTCTTTCGATTTGCTCTCTCTCTCAATTGTTTCTCTTTCATTCTCTTTCAATCGCTTTCGTTCCATTTCTATATGCGTGTATCTATACTTTCTCAATTTTCTCTCTCCCTTTATTATATCTCTGTGTTCAGAATTTTTCTCTGTCTCTGTCCCTCGTTCATTCTCTTTATCGTGAGGAAGCTAGCCGTGTTCCGTCCCTCAACGGGGAAACGGGACTAAAGATCGAACGATAGAGGGGACACGTGTGAGCGGAGTTTATTCGCTTTTTCGTGCCTCTCGTTCTCCGCTTCCACACTTTCGTCGTTGTGCAGACGACCGTTTTTTTTTCAGACGGACGGATTACCGTTTCTCACTGAGAGCCCGTCGTGTCGGTTTGATCTAATGTTGTGGATGGCAGGAGCCGAGGGGGGGGGGCAGTAGCTCGGTACTATTTCCCGAGGTTTCGTTCACGTTTCTCGCGGAACCGGACAATCGGACGCGCATTTAACAAAGTCGGGGGAAGAAGGACTGACCGACCGTTTTTCGAGATCGATTCGCCGGACCTCGTGGTGGTAGTAGTACCTCGCCGGGCCCCCGGACCATGATAAAGGACGAAAAAATCGGGAGGCGATGGATTCGAATATGACTTAAGGAGCTAACGTCTTCGTCCTTTCGTTCCGTGGATCGATATCGATGAAAGTCGATCGGTCGATTGGTCGAATGATTCAACACCGGAAACGAGATTCGTCCGTGCGGGCAAAGTTCTTCTTTAGCCGGAAATCATCGAACGTGTTTGCGGTTAAGGCAACACGGTGTGATATATACGGTGCATACGGTGCGAGTTCAAAGAAACGAGAGTAACCCAAGAACAGAATGAACGAACGTAACAAGAAAACAAACGGAACAAGAAACTGATAAACCATCGAAAGGAAACGAAAATGAGAACAGAATAATCCAGAAACATCGAACTTCTTTTGCGGTGTGTACACGCGTGTGAACATCGGTTTACTACACGTTGATCATCGACCCATCTACGCGCGAGCCTCTGGACGAAGTTCAGAAGGAAGAACTAATAAGAGGGGGATATCTACCTGTAGATAGGTGTATGGTTGAATGTCGTTGCCTGTGACCGAGCACGCGAAACTGCGGTAGTTCCACCTCGTTCGAGATGCCGACCGACTGTAGGCCGGCGTTCCATTTGTACCGAATATCGCGCATTGTGTATCCAACTGCCGGGAGAACAAGAACACAAATATCTTCGCTCTAACATACAATAATTAGACACTCAAGTTTTGTGTTTGGATCGGGCGGATTTCGGGGATAAACAGGTACTCCAAATAGGGGTCGTGGGGAAGGGGGGGGGGGATGTTAAAACGTTGGCGGTGGCAGTGGGGTCGGATGTCTGGGACAGGGTTCACAGTGGAAAACTGTAGACAAAAGCAAAAATATTACCGAGCACTCTAAACCGCCCCATTTCTTCTTCGCTAGATATATAGTATATATATATATACACCGTAGCCGTGGCGACTCTGCTTCGCTATCGCTAACCCGTGTTTCGCTACAATGGCCACGGCTTAGAGTGCAGTCTCGAGCTGTAAAATTGCTTGACATATTCGAGCTAGGCGTGTTGTAATCGGTCGCTAACCGAAGTGGCCAAGTCAGTTCAACCGATGTAGCATCGGTCGAACTCGAGGATGACACTTCGGCCGGACGTGTGTGCGCGGCGTTTGAATTTTTCGTTACGGACAAGTGACAAGCCTGCCACGTGTCTATAATTATTTCGCGAAAACTCGACGCGCAGCGAGACTGTTCGCGATCGAGGCAACGGCGGCGGTGCTACAAATATTTTCCGCTTCTGGTCTCGTCGTCGGGTGTAGACAAAAGGCTATCGATCCCGTCGGTCTTCAGGACCTCGCGACCGACTTGGACGTCGAATTTTCCGTGATCGATCGGAATTCGCACCTATTTATGTTCCTCTAATTTCTCGTCGCGGCCTCGAGCGCACACATACCGCCCCGAGAAACATTCCTCCGTAACTGAATCTTAGGTGATTACGATCGTTACACCGCATTCCAGGCACCAAAGTGGCATTCCATCGCGGTGCCAGCCACATTGCGCGAACATCGGCGAAATGTGGATTAAGCGATCCACGACCGAGTATTCGAGATTAACTGCTTTTGTTTTTGGAACACGGAAATACTATCGTCCCGTTCCGTTTGCTCATTTTCCGTCTGGCAAATGCCACGCTGTAATTCCACACCGGTGAAATGCTTCAACCCGAACCCGACAGATTTATCTACAGAATAATCCCGACTCTACGTGCTGCCGATTCCTGAATTTCACGATTCCCATTGTCCCGTGATATCAGTGCGCGCGCGGCTATACCACCGTCCCTTTTTCTTTTTCATTAAATACCGAACAGATAATTTTCAGAACGTTATTAGCGCTGCCGACGTTATCACGGTTCGAGACATTGTTACCGTTCGATAGACAGGGTGTCCCAAAAATGTCTCGCAATGCGGAAATGGCGGGTTCCTCGAATCATTCGAAGCAACTTCTTCCTTTGCAAAAATGTTCTCCGAGGCACCGTTAACGAGTTATTAGCGAAAAACAGTGACCGATAAGAATCGAGTACGGCTGACGCGAGGCGGTCCAGCCAACCAGCGCACGAAGCTCGGTTCTGCTCACAGGTCGTCTTAACGCCTCAAATTCATAATTCTTCAAAACGTTTTTGTATCGCATATTATAAACGTCCAAGCAGAAACGACGTGCACGGGACAAAAATAATTGACTGAATAAGTTGAAAACACTTTTAAAACGTATCTTAAAGAATATTCATCGGGAATTCTCATTTTTAAATCGTTTGCATTCGTATGCCTACTTTCAAGGGACGTAACGAAACCGTTGTTATTTATGATACAATTAGAATTTCTGTTTGACAAAATCTGTATTATTATAGTTTTTTTATCGAATTTTATTTGAACAGACTAATCATTTTCAACATTCTATCATTTTATAACGTTACTTGCTGCTTCGTCGATAAATGCATTCGAGATTTGGATCGGAGAAATTCCTCGAACACTTAAGGGTTCATATTTAGACGGCATCTGACAAATAATTCAAATTCCCACGTGTTTCGTTAAGACGCGTAAAACTATGTCGACAAAAATTGATGGATAAAATTACAAATGGTCCCACGGATTTTATGCACCTTGCTGTATCGATGACAACTGAAAATGATTCGAGAATGAAATCATATTTCACTTGGATCGTTCGTCTCGCCTAAGATGGATTTTAATTTCGCGCAAACCTCCGCGGTCTACTAATTATATACTCCGTTACATATCTGTCAGCAAGGTTCGCCGTTAGGTTCGAGCGTTAATACCGTATACGAGAATATTTGATTAACCGCCGGCTCTTGGTTACATTTCACCGGTGAGAAATAGAACGAAAAGTTTCGTTCGAAATTGCGAAACAGCGACGCAGCCAAGCGTTCCCTGGTATCTGTATCGAACGTTCGTGCAAGGATTCGAGAGCCATTCGAATCCATCTTTGGAAAAGAAGAAAGAACGCGAAGGCACGGCAATTAATCATCGCAATTCCGCGCGGCTAACGGTGGGAACCGTCTCCAGATTTATCCCCGGCGTTTCCCGGGAAACTTGGTCTGCAAGACAATGCTCTTTTCTTTTCTTTTCTTTTCCTCCTTCGCCGATGATCGTGGTACGTTCTGGCGCGGCGTATCGTAGATAAGATGTCTCCCAAAATTATGCTACTTCTGGGCAATGACGGGCTCCCGAGGTTATTCGAAGCAACTGTGTCCTTAGCGAAAATGCAATCCGCGGCTTCGTTTACGAGTTATTAAGGAAAAACGCTGACCAATGAGAGGCGAGCTAGGCTGGCGGGAGGCGGCCGTGCCAGCGAGCGGTCGTAGCCCGGTTCCGCTCATTGGCTCAGCGTCAAATGATCTCTGATTGGTCACTGTTTTTCGATAATAACTCGTAAACGAAGCGGCGGATTGCATTTTCGCAAAGGAAAAAGTTGCTTCGAATGACCTCAGGAGCCCCTTATTCCTCCTGGATGTAACATCATTTTGGAACATCCTACAAAACTGATACAGTCGGAAACGTTTCAATAAAGATGTCCTGGACTGGGGTAACGTTTAAGCATCACGGGGGCAGGGGTGGAGCGGGCCACAGCGGGACAATTCGGGGGTGCGGATGGTAGAGAAAGGGGCTCTGGAGGAGTTCGAGGTGGTGACCGTCGAATACAGTAGAATGGAGGGTTGCGGCAACATTAGCAGAGTAACGGGGATATATCGTGGTGGTGGTAGCAAAGTTTAAGGTATATAAGACGATAAGTGGAAAGTGTATAAGTAGATATGGAGAAGCGAAGAAAAAAAGTTCTGTGCCTTGGCATGCAGTGGCGGTGCGGGACGTGGAAAAAGTAGACGGCGGACACGCGCGAACGCGCGAACGTCATACATTATTGCACACGCGCGCACACATACACACGCAGAGACGGACACGTATACACGGGCATGCATCGGCGTTATATACTGTATACAATCGCATGCTACGAGCCACGTAATTTTATACGTCATGCCGGATGCCGCATGCTTTGTGCTTCACCAGTGACACGAATTCTCTCTGAACACGGAATTTAACTTCTTCCTTTTCGGAAGTTTTCTTTATTTCTCGCGCACGCATACCGTACTCCCGGCGGGAGTGCGTTCGCGTACGATGCGGCAAGCCAATATACATATTGTGTACCGGATCGAATTTATTGTCGGTGTTAACGAGCGATTCGATGAAATACTTTCCTGTGCTCTGCCTCTGGACTGTTTACGCTCGGGCGCAAATGTCTGCATGCACTTGATGAATCTCGAATA